AAGTAATGTGCGTGAATCATTCTAAATTATAGCGTGTGTTGAAGTTAAAGTGACTGTGGAAATTCTGTTTATTGCAAAGTTGTATCGAGAAAGAATAGACTAGTTTTAATTAAGAAAGGACTTGTATCGCTGAAGCTTCTCGGGAAGAATTTATACAGGAAATTATCAAACGAACAGAGACGTAACAGTATTAAAAACTTTAATTAAAATAAAGAACAAGAAGATGATCTAAGAAGGGCGAAACGTTTTTCTTGTACTTTTGATTAAAGTCTTTGATAGATATTCCAGCCTTCTCTGCTATACATTTTTACTTCAAGTGGGTTTCATGTCATCGTGAATTCGTGTACTATGTAGAAATAGGAGTACAATATAAATAATAGAATCAGTAAATTATTTGCTGATAATGATGAAACAGGGAAACAGTTAAAAGAAAGTCAAGAAGAAAGAGAAGGAAAATCAAAATAAGAACAAGAATAAATAGACAAAAATTAAACGAAAGAGACATAAAACTAGAAGAACGAGACAGTAAATAGAAAGAAAACTAAAGAATTTACAGGAAATTAAAAGAAGACAAAGAAGAAATTAATAGAAAATGAAAAGAATATGAAGAAGAAAGAGACGTAATATCTAAAAAAGAAACAAGAACAAAAATAAATCTGTCTGAAGATAAGATTGATGAAGCTATTGGAGATACTGGGGAATTACAACAACAAGATTGAAGAAATACACAAAACTGTAAAAGACAAAGCAAAGTATGAAAGGATGACATCTATAATGTGGTGAAAGATTATTAAAAGTGATTAAAGAGGAAGAAAAAACATCAATGACAAAATAAAGCATTTGAAAAATGAATTGGTAAATGCAAAGATCAAACCAGCCACTTTTTCTCTACCTGTTTCCAACCTGAAACACCATTTACAATTGAATATGGAATAGGAGAACTTATTTTTTCTACACCTGTTACCACTACTTTTGAGCTATCTGTAACTGCAGGACCTTCCTGGAGTATTCGAGCAATGACACTACCAAAACAAGTTCCATAGTTTAGCTCGTCAATTTAAAAACATCACCCAATGGAGAAACCGACACACTTGTCTAGATTCTTCACATGAAATGATGGATTCTTTGACAAATTAACAATTAATATACGTCATGACAGACAAAGAAATAAGAAATAGCATAAAGCAAATTACGTGCACATCTTTCAAGGCAGCTCTCCAGTTGACAATGAAACTTGAATCCAGATGCAGGTAAATAACTAAAGGCACCACTTAGAATGTATGAGATCATCAGATAAAGTAGTATTCAAAAACTAGATCCACCTTATAATAGTCTAGAAAACTAAAACGATTGGTTAAACAACTTGTTACACAGAATGAAGGAAATAAACCACAAGTTAACTTGAAAGGACATATTGTCAGGAAATGCAGAAAAGAGCCTGTAAGAAATGAAAACCATTCCAAAGAACGTTACAAAAATAGAACTGTTACAAATGTGGGAAATATGGTCACTACTGCCATGATGAATCAACAGCTTTTAATACATCAAGGAGGCAATACCATAGTGATGATTCTTAGAGCCCAAACAAATCCAAAGAACAAAAGAAGGGCTAATCAGACTTTGGATGAACAGGAATTAGCTGAACTTATGGGGCAAAATTCAGCTGAGAATACTCTAACTGCCTCAAATGAAATAACAAATTGACTATTTATAGAAACCAGTCCATAAATACACTGGTTTACTCAATGGAAGCATTGCATTATGTTGATCAACAGTGGTTTTACAGCTACAATTCTTTGATTTAATTTGTTAATAAAAAATATGAAATTACTTTCAGAAGTGAAGAAAGAAGAAGGTCGATGTGAACATAAAGTTCCAGTGAGGGGAACGTTGGAAGTTACCCTTACTGTAGGAAGCTCTACACCTCATATGTGAGTAGTTGATAACAAGGTTAGGTAGACACTTTTTACTTACAAAAGAAGCTGAAGCTTTCAAAGAGATAGAAGCCTTGAAGAAACAAGGCGTGCTTGTCCATGGGCATCACTTATTATATTTGTGAAGATAAAGGATGGGTCCACAAGGTTTTGGATCGACTACCAAAAGGTGAATGAAGTCCCCAAAACGAATGCCTACCCATTGCCAAAATTGACTTTATTTTATAGGCTCTATGTGGATCAAAGTTGTTTTCAGTATTGGGTGAGAAGAGTGAATATTGGCAAGTGCAAGTAGTTGAAGCAATTAGAAAGAAGGCAAACTGTATTGCAGGAGATAGATTATGACAATTGGTTGTGTTATCATTTGGATTATGTAATGCACTTACTACATTTCGATGACTAAAGGAGTGTGTTCTCTTTGAACTTCCCCAGAACAACCCACTCATTTGCTTGGATGACATAATCACACATTAGAAGACTTTTGATAATGCATAAGACGGACTAAAGAAAGTTCTGAATGGCTTGAAGAAAAGGTACATCAAGATGTATCCCAAGAAATGGAAATTGTATCATAAACAGGTGAATATCCTGAGACATACAGTCAACAAAGAAGGGATGTCTGCAAACCCATCTAAAATTGAATCAGTTCAGGAATGGCCAACAACAAAGAACCTGCATAAGAGAAACCAATTCCTAGGACTGTACTCTTAATATCATGATTTTGTAAAATTATTCTCTAACATAGCCTAATATATATTACAATATGTTAATATATTAATAGACATAGATTAATATTTGTTAAAAATATTCTGTTATTATCACTTTCACCCCCAGTGGCACAGTGGTATGTCTGCGGACTTACAACGCTAGAATTCGGGTTTCGATACTCGTGGTGGGCAGAACACTGATAACCCATTGTGTAGCTTTGTGCTTAATTACAAAAAAAAACAACAACAAATAAATCTTCACTTTTATTTATGTTTTATACATATTCCAGTCTTATTGTTAACAAAAACTAAATTAATTGTGACTAATACATGTTTAAATTTCATTATTAATTTCTTTAACAGAAATCTAGTAAACTTTCCTACTCACACATGGTGCAAAAATATGATTCATTATATATATTTTCAGTATTGTTTCAAATTTCTATAGTTAAGCACATAATTATTCTTACCATATAAAGTAGGCATTGATTTTATTTCTTTAGTTGTTATTCTGTTTTCTGGTGTTAGGGGTATATTTGAATGATAGTCATGTAATTCATTTGGATATTCTTAATCTACTTCAAAAATATAACCTATTTCAGAATCATCACTTACTTTCATTGCATCAATATTTGTATCACTCCATTTAAATCCTCCATAGGGTAGATATTGGCTAATTGCCCATCCATATAGGTTATTAACATCTAAATAAGCTAAATAAATAGATTCTATATTTAAATCATAATCTTTCATGTATTTATTATTTGCATTTTTATATCTATTACACCACTGTAATATACCCTCACGAATACCTTTCTCAAGTATTATGATCACACGATATTTAGTAAATAATTGTAATTTAACATCAGTCACTTTTAACATTGCATCCGCGTGTTGTGTAATACCAAGGAGGGTCTGATTTATATATTTTCAAACAAACATCTTTGCGGACTTACAACGCTAGAATCCGGGTATCGATTCCCGTGGTAGGCAGAGTACAAATAGACCATTGTGTAGCTTTGTGCTTACTTACAAACAGACGAACAAACTATTTAAGAAATCAAAATCAGCATATTTGACAAAAGTAACTCTTAGTGAATTATTGATATTGTTATGACAGCGGAAGTCGCGCGATGCTTGGAGCATGCGCTGGAGTTCTAGAAAGGTCATGACTATTCCTCACAACTCTAGGCTTTTCTAGACATGCTATGTTCGCGTATATAAGCCGGCAAATAAAGTGACGGTGGGAGAGATAATTGCAGACAGAGAGATACAGAGACAGATAATCGAGTCAAGTCATAAGTAAAGAGCGTGAATCGTTGTGAATTCTAGCGTGTGTTTAAGTTAAAGTGACTGTGGAAATTAAGTGTATTGCAAAGTTGTATTGAGAAAGAATAAACTAGTTTTATTTAAGAAAGGACTTGTATTGCTGAAGTTTTTCATAAAGAATTTCTACGGAAAATTAACCAACGAACAGAGACGTAACAAATTGGTGTCAGAAGTGGGATAAAAAAAAGAAATAGAAGAAAACAGAAACGAGAAGTGGCAAATCAAACTACAGCTTAGCAGATTTGATGGCAGCAATACAAGAACAG